ATTTCGGCGGGGGCTCTGAAGCCTGATAGCACCAGCCTGAGCCAGCACTGCTGTTTTGGTATCGGGCAAGAACCACGAGGAGAGATTTTCTGCCAGCACTTGGGTTTGCACAGCATAAGCCAAAATTTCTTGTTGGGTTTTTTCTTTCTTTCCTTCCCCCACCCGCCTTGGCAAAATTTCCGGAAACATTGCAGAAACTTGGGGGGTGGATGTCCCCAAAACCATCCCCCCCTCCCCTCAGCAAGCACCCAGCAGAGAGCACAAGCACAGTCCCCCCTGCATGGGGAGGCCTGGAGGATCCGCCTGCTCTTCCCCCGAGCCTCTGCCTTGAACACTGTTTTGCTTCCAAGGCTTGCCAGGGGCAATTCCCAGAGCAAACCCCAGTGATGAGCCAACACCCATGGGCTGTGGCACCCAACAGCTTGGTGGTGACGGCACCAACACAGAGGGGTGCCCAGGCCCAGCCTGCTCCCAGGCACATGCAAGTAATTTCGAGGCAGGGAATCGCTTTATCCCCTGACAAAGCTTCTGCTTTAGCAGTGTCTATTTTAAGAAAGAAGAAAACCAAACTCGGAGGTAAAAACTAGGACAATTCCTGGCATGTTAGCTCCCGCCCGCTGCAGCGTGCCGCCTGCCAGACAAAGCATCCTCTGCACTCCCGCTCGCCCCTGCATCCCGCTCGCCTTCACCGTGCGTGACACGGAGTCGCTGTGCCCAGAACCGCTGCAGAGCACCAGACACATCTCCTTTTGCCATCGCAGGCTGGAGTTTCCTGTCCAGCTCTCCCTAACGCCACCAGCAGCTGCTAGTAAGGGAGAACAGCTCAGATTTTTCCAAGGGCATCTCCCCACCCGCCTTACGTCTGGTGGCTGGCCGGCCGCCTGGTAACGTTACACACACGGTATTTCCTCTTCATCTGCCCACAGTGGGTAACCTCGACTTTCAGACCTGATGCAAGACAGGGAGACACAGCAGAGTCACCGGTAAAGGCGTGAGCAATTCCCCTTCACCCAACTTCCCTGGGGACACTGCCAACACCTGCCTTAAGTAATTAACTATTTGCAAAGCAGACGTGCTTGCAGATGCCTTGTGAAGTGTATGAGGGAGGCAATGTTGCCCCAGGAGACATTTCAAATGTGCACCCCCCATGTCCCCTCACCTCGCTG